CTAGAGGGTGGGGACCATGTTTTTAACCCCAATTTTAATTTCCACACCTGACCTCGTGCAAAACCCAAGTGCCCACTAACAGCTCCATAAAAGTGCATTGTAGGTGTGTCAGATCTATGCTCAAAACAGAACTCTTCATTCTTCTCCCTCTCAAACCTGCGTTTTGCCCTCCCCCATCTCAGAAAATGCCATCTACCACCTGCTCAGGTTCAAAACCTCATTTTTTTCTTTTTAAATTTGAGGTATAATTTGCATGCCATAAAATTCACCCTTAAAGTATACAATTCAGTAGTTTTTTAAATATTCAGAGTTTTTGCAACCATCACAACTCATTGGAGAACATTTTTATTACCCTAGAAAGAAACTCCATACCCATGAGCAGTCACTCCCTGCTTCCCTCTAATCCCACACCTACCCTCAGTCTGAGTCAACCACTCATCTGCTTTCTGTCTCTATAGATTTGCCCGTTCTGGATATTTTATATAAATGAATCATACAATATGTGATCCTTTGTAGCCGGGTTCTTTCACTTAGCATAGTGTTCCCAAAGTCTATTCATGTTATAGTATCTAACAGTATTTCATTCTTTTTTATTGCAGAATAATATTCCGCTGTATAGATATATCACAGCTTTTTTAATCCATTCATCAGCTCATAGGCTTTGGGTTGTTTCTACTTTTGAGCTATTGTGAATAACACTGCTGTGAACATTCGTGTGTCAGTTTTGCATGGGTATGTGCTATCAATTCTCTTAAACTTATACTTAGGAGTTGAATTGCTAGGTCATATGGTAACTCTGTTTACAGTTTTTTGAGGAACTGACAAAATGCTTTCTGAAGGTGGCTGCACCATTTTACATTCCCACCAGTAATGTACAAGGGTTCCACTTTCTCCAATTTTCCAATTTTCATGTTATTTATTTACTTATTTTTGATACAATTGAATTGTCTCCAGTGGATGTGAAATGGTATCTCTCATTGTGACTTAAATTTGCATTTCCCTGATGACTGATGATATTGGGTATTTTCACGATGTGCTAGTGATCATTTGTCTATCTTCTTTGGAGCAAGATCTATTCACATCTTTTGCTCACTTTTAAATTGGGTTATTTGTCCATTTTTATTATGGGGTGGTTAAGAGTTCTTTACATATTCCAGATACAAGTTTCTTTTTTTTTTTAAGATTTTATTTATTTATTTGACAGAGAGAGAGATCACAAGTAGGCAGAGAGGCAGGCAGAGAGAGAGAGAGGGAAGCAGGCTCCCCGCTGAGCAGAGATCCTGATGCGGGACTCGACCCCAGGACCCAGAGATCATGACCTGACCCGAAGACAGAGGCTTTAACCTGCTGAGCCACCCAGGTGCCCCGTGGATACAAGTTTCTTATCAGATATACAATTGCAAATATTTTCTCCTATTCTCTAGTAGACTTTTCACCTTAACAGTCTTCTCTGAAGCAGAAAAGATTTACTTTTGGTGAAGTTCAACTTATCAATTTTTCTTTTGGTTACTTGTGTTTTGGGTGTCCTATCTAAGAAATCAGTACCTAATCCAAGGTCACAAATATTTATAGCTATGTTTTCTTCTGTGAGTTTATAGTTTTAGCACTTAAATTTAGATCTTTGATCTATTGAGTTAATTTCTACATATGGTGTGAGGTAGGAATCCAGCTTTATTTGTTTTGCATGTGCATATCTAGCTGTTCCAGCAGGATTTGTTGAAAACACTCTTCTCCTCCCACTGACTGGTCTTGGCATTTTTTTTTTAAATCAATTGACCATAAATGTATAGATTTATTTCGGGACTCTGAAACCATTCCATTAATCCATGCATCTATCCCTAGGCCAGGACCACACAGTCTTGTTAGTCTAGCTTTGGAGTCTGTTTTGAAATCAAGAAACTTCAACTTTGTTCTTCCTTTTCAAGATTATTTTGGCTCTTCTGGAGCCCTTGCATTTTCATACCAATTTTGGGATTGGCCTGTCATTTTCTGAAAAAGTCAGGTGGGTTTTTAATAGGGATGGTGTTTCATCTGCAGATCCATTAGGGGAGTACTGTCATTGTAAGAAGTCCTCTGAGTCCATTTTTGACATTTACCTCTCCCTTCTTCTGATGAGAAAGCCCAGGTGCTCTCTTCCTTGGTGCAGGTGGGAAGTTCAAACTATATACAGAAATCTCACCCCAGTCCCACCTTCAACCGATCATAAAAATCTGGTAGTGTCCTTTTCCTGCCTTCAAGTCAACTGCAGTCCAGCTTGGGAGTCTGTTATAGATATAACTGATCTGACTTGGAAATTTAGATAATTGGCATTTTGGACAAGAATGTGGGATTGGGGCTCTCCTTAGGTCTTGGCCCAGACTTATCCACATGTGCCAGATTGAATCCTGTGTCTTTTTAAAAATTTCTTAAAATTCATTTGACAGACAGAGCACAAGCAGGGGGAGTGTCAGAGGGAGTAGAAGAAGCAGGCCTCCTGCTGAGCAGGGAGCCTGACACGGGGCTGGATCCCAGGACCCTGGGATCATGACCTGAGCGGAAGGCAGGCACTTAACCGACTGAGCCAACCAGGGGCCCCGAATCCGTGTCTTGATTCAATTCTAACAGATCATTGTACCTCCTTTTGGTAAACTGAAGGCCACTCCATCATGGACACTGCCAAAAAATAGCTACCTTCTCTCTCAGCATCCACAGCATTGAAACAAGCCTAACATCTTCTAGGACTTCTTTGGGTTCGGGAAGCAGTGCATTCTGCATTTACAAACTTTTTTTAAGCTCACTTGTGCTGTTACTTGTAAATCGCCCACTTCAGGTGGTGGCCTCACAACAAAAGGCTCTAGAATCTGTGTGAATTGCAATGCAACAGGCATTCCCAACAGTGCCCCACCTCCAGGGTTCTTCTCTACAGAGGCCTCAGCAATCCCCTCCCATGCCTCCTGGAGCCTCTGGAGCATCTAAGCTACCCTTGGGCTCCTTGGTCTCAAGCTATATGTCATTAGACCTGCAATTGCTGATTGCATACTAGATCCTGGAAATAGTAGCTGTCCTAGGTCCTGGCCTGAGACCTCCCATACCCAGCTGTTCCTAGGTCTTGGGTCATAAAAGCAACATCCCAGCAATAATTTCAGCATGGCCACCAAGGCCTTTCTGCTACATAATAGAGCTGGAGCCTCTGGCACATCCCATCTGCAGCAGGGGGTGGCCTTCCCTGTCCTCAGTCCCTTGCCAGATGCCCTGGTGCACTCCTCTCTTAGACCCCTGGAAGCCACTTGCCATCAGCTGGGTAAACAGCAAAGGGAGTTCTCACACTTTACAGATAGAATAACCACCATGACTCCTGCTAGTGCTCCATGGGGAAACTGCTGTTTTTTAATACCTTAACCAGGATGTCCCCAAAGAATAGTAGGACCCAAGGGTCAGCACAAGTGGCCAAATTTTAGACAGTCATCTTAGCACCGGGCACCCTGGCCAACAACTGACCCATGCGTATATTTTACTTTTGAGCCAGGTAGCCTGTTTTGGGGTAAAGAACTCTGGGAATCTCTTGTCCCACAGAAACTCAAACCATAAATCAAGATCTCACATATCTCACTACTTACTAAAGCCATAAGACAAGACCTCACCAAGGTACTCCTCTTGTTCAGAATTCCAGATCTTATTAAGCATGACCAAGATACACATTGTACTTCTCGAAATACCCAGTTCTGGGCCCTTGAACAGGTATTGAAGAGAATTCTCTCCTCCCCACCAGCCTCAAGCTATAGACCTCGTAATGACTTACTTTAACAAGTTCAAATTCGATTAAATGCAACATGGCACATGTCAGCCATCCGTCAAACATCTGAGGTGAATTGTAGTAATGTGTGTACAGTTTTTGATGTTTGCTGACAGTTTTAAGCCTCATCTCTCCTCTTCCCATCATGCCCCACATCTGGGTAATAGAATCTAAATTCTTTTTCCTTTGGTGCAGGGGGCTGGGAGGAGCGGGAGGTTGTACAAACCACTCAGTGGAATCATCAGTCTGGTCCTACACAAAACCACCATAAAAAACCAAGCCAATATTCTTTCTCTGCTCTCTCAAGCTATTTCAGAACTGTGTGGGTGCCACCCTGATCTCCCCAGAAAGTTCTCATTATATGATCAACCTTTTCATACCTTCTCAGGGTGTGTGTGGTATTATCTTCTGGACATCTGAACCACATTTTCCCCACCAGGTGTCCGCAATGGCAATCCCGACACTATGAAGTCTAAATAATCCAATTATTTAGGTGTTCTTTCTCTCAATTATGTTCTATAGAAAAACAAAAAAAAATTGATGTTCTGTATTTTTCAGTGTCCCTGACTTACAATGGCTTGACTTACAATTTTTTTACTTCATGATGGTGTGAAAGCAACACACATTTAGTAGAACCTATCTCGAATTTTTGAAGTTTGATTCTTCCTGGGTGAGTGATATGCGGTATGACTCCAGTGGTGCTGGGCAGCAGCACCAAGCCACGGTTCCCAGTCAGCCATGCCATCCTAAGAGACATCACAACAGGGACAGGGCCTCCAGAGCCATAGGCCAGTTTGACCCCAGCTCTGCCTTCAACTAGCCGTGTGATCCAAGTCACTGTTTAATTGTTCCAAGCATTCACCTATAAATCAGGATTCACTTTCAGGGGTTTGTTAGGAGGAGTGAATGAGATGTATGTAGAACACAGAGTAGGTGGCCAACAGGTGTCAGGTCTGGGATAGGGAGGTGAGGGTCATTGAAGTAAGTCTGATTCCTGGTTGAGAAGACAGGGGCCGGCTGAAGACCAGGAGGCTGGCCAGAGCTTGTGGGACATCCGCAGTCTGGGCCTGGCATTGAGGAGGGAAGGGCTCAGCCCTGCACCACGCCCCTCTCCCTCCAAGCACATCAGTGCCCCTGGGTCTGCCAGACACGGGCCCCAGACCTAAGGACTGTGGCAAAGCCACACCCCCTACCCTCAGCCCCAAACATGGAGCAAACAGATACGGAGGCATCTTCCAGTGCACTTTAATCAAAATTCCATCATCAGAAGAGTTCTTGTAGCATACAATGTTAGGATGGGCATGTCAACTTGGTCCTACAAATGGAATTTCCACATATTTGCACTTCAAACATGTATGAAAAATAAAATATATAATATTTAGCTTTATAAATTTCCCCACTTCATCACTTTGTCCTTAAAATAAATTACTACTTCTGTCCAATAAATTAAGCAACCTGGAGTCACGAAGCAAATGTCAGCCAAATGACTCCCATTTCCTGAAAAAGTTCTGGGGGAAATACTTGAGACAGTCAAATGCTTACAGGAATCAACATGAATTAAAACTAGCACATTCCTCACAGTGGGGCGAGACATTAAAAATGGAAGGCTGCTAATGGCTGTTCTTCTCTGTTGGGAAAAAATAAATCCCGCCTGACCATACCGAATGGTTGTGGAAGCTGCAGCTGAACTTTTGGCACCGGTGGAGAAAAGAGGCTTTTCAAAGAAGCCATTCCCAGCGATGATTCCATCAAAGCATCAGTCTGACGGAGAGGTGACAGAGGGGGAGGGACAGCTGCCACAGCCCTTCTCCAGAACTCCCTTCTGCGTTCCTGCTCCCAGCCCCCTCTGGAGGCCCAGACGCCCCCTCCATCTTGGAGAAGGCAGGGCATTGTCCAGGCAGCCTGCCCCCCTCCTTGAGCTGAAGAGTTCCTCACAGCCTAGTAAAGAACACTAAGAGAAAGGCCCTTCTGTGGGCGGCAGGGGCTGCTTTGCCATGTGCTCAGGGGACAGCAGGGTATACTCTATACACAAGGAACACAGATATTCCAGCAGGAGGGCCACACAGCCTTTAAAGGGGACAGACAGACAGGACACACGAGACATCGAGCATCCAAGAGGGCGGACAAGGCTGCGGTGTGCTAGCAATGGCAGGGGCTCTGCAAGGAGCCTCAAGGGCCTTCAACCCCCCACCCCCAGCAGGAAGTCAGAGATCTCCCCACCTGCAAGCTCAGGGCTACGTCCCCCCTCAAAACAACATAATCTTGGTAAGGAACAAAGAATCCAGTGACAAGGGCCGCTACAGAACCTCGGCCTTCGAGATTCCCTGGGAATGAGCTTTGGGGGCCCCAGCCCATTCTGGCGGGGGCTTTGTACTCAGTTTAACTGGGGGAGGAGGTGGCCTTGCACTTCTGACAGGAACAGCCCGGCCCTGGCCTAGACAGAGCCGGAGGCAGCTACAAGTCAAGGAGACGTTCCTCACAGGTCTCCACGGGCCACTTAGAAGCCCCTCCAAACACATCGACGTTGTTGTCCACCCAGGGTATGATGTTGCCGGGCATGTTCGTGGAGCAGTTGGCAATGTTGATAATTTCTTGTGCACGGAGGACGCGGTCCCATATGTTGAACTGGCTGAGCTCTCCCACGAATGCCTGCGTGGCATCAAACCTACCCCCAACGGTGTCCTGGGGAGGGGGCAACAGAACCCCATCAGTGCAGGTTCAAAAAGCGGACAGATCTGCTAATTCTCCTGGACTGTGAATGACCTCTGGGAAGGGATGCCAACTTGGGAGGGAGATGGGGAGACTGGGGCATTTTCCCGACTCCCTCCAACTCTGGCTACACCTTAGGACCCCTGATTCCTTCACATCCTGGGGCTCCACAACACGTTGCTCCAGGCTATAGTGGAAAGACATTTTGTCCAAATTCCCAAAGCTAGCACTAGCTCCCGGTCTCCAGACTCCCAGCCTCTCCCAGGGAAATGAGGGGAAGAATGGGCCCTCAGCAAACCTCAAGCATAGGCTGAAACATCAACTCTTACCTGCCCAGGAGCAGACAAGCAATGTACATCTCCCCCTTCTCCCACCCGGTGAGTTTCTTGAGGGCAGCTTCTGAAATCACCTTCCCACCCCCATCTCCGCCAGGGTGCTGAACCCCCACAGGCATGCCCTGAGTCCCCTAAAACACTGAGCCAGCAGCTCCTGGAAGATGCCATATCAGTCCTTGGCATCCAGAATCGATGCTGTGCCTGGCAGAGGCTTAATGTCTGGAAAGAACCTAAAGTCACTCCATGACAGCATGACCCCAAGGACACTCCTGTTCACCTGGGTTGGACTCCATTCTGGAATCTTTCTGAACCCACCACACCAACCTCAGGCCATAAGACAGCATGGGGTGAGCTGGCACTGTCATGCCTCAGTGGCTGGGTCTGGCAGGCAGACAGCTGACCAGGGGGCCCAGGGGCAACCTTCAAGTGTAGCCTTGTGCAGCTCGGCTGGCAGCATGCTCCCATCTTGCAACCCTGCACTCACCTGTTCCTGCCCGAGGATCAGCACACCCCCTGGCTTGATAGGGTGCCAGGGAGCCAGGTTCTCCCCAGTGCCAAGTTTCTCCCCATCCTGGAATGCTTCCCACATGCCGTCCCGTGTCGTCCAGGTGATACAGATATGGTGCCACTTGCCGTCACTGACAAACAGGGGCAGCTGTGCAACCTGTGGACAGCAGGTGAGGCACCCCCTCAGGGTTTCCAGAAGTCTGAGCTGCAGACGGACTGGAGGTCCAACTGCTCCCATCATGCAGGGTCCCTGCTGGTCTCCTCTTCTCTGCTTTTTGGGTGACATGGGCAACTCTGCCCTTCAAAAAGCCTTGGGGAGGGGACACTGTGTGACACAGACATCTAAGAGGAAAGGGGCATGTAGCCTGGGTACAAGCCCCTGACCCCAGGGTGGCCCAGCTTTCAAGGGGACACCTCTGGTCCAGGTTCTGCTGAGGGTCCAGGATGCTATCCAGACTGAACAGATGTGAGGTGAAGGACAGCCCCCATCCCTGCTGTGCTGAGTCTGAATGCCTCCTGCCAGAGGGCCTGAAGGGAAGTCAGGGTCCTACTGGGCCAGCCTCTTTGGAAAACAGTCAAGAACAGGTATCTACACTCTAGACAGAGGCTCACGACTATCCATCACGACACTTGCGGACTGTGTGTGTGTGTGCGCGTGTGTACTCCTGTGCAGTAAAAAAAAAAAAAAAAAAAAAAAGGCCTACAATTACGTGGGACTGTGTGCTGGGGGGTGCACACAGGGACCCCCCCCATATGGAACCGGAAGAAGGGCACTTCTGACCCACGTCGTCCGAGCGCAGTCCCGTGAGCACTGCAGCCCAGCCCAATCAGGTGCCATCCTGTTGTTACTGCTGGTATCCTAGCAACCCGCTGCTTCCTCCCAGGAATTGGCTGTTTATACGCCACCTAACCCAAGAGGAAAACAAGGTTCTGGCCCTGCTGTGTCCAAGGGCATTATTTAGAACAATTAATCCCTGGCTCAGGGACATGGTCACCACTAGAAGGAGCCCAGTGAGGAGATTCCACAGCATCTCCCACTTCAACTCCATCCGAGATGGTTCAGTAACGTCAGAGTAAGGGCCAGGGCAGAGGCAGCAGGGAGCTGGAGCAGCCATTCCAATGCTCAGCTCCAGCAAGGACGTCAGGACACTTTTCTTTGGCTATGCTGAGCCTGACTTCAGAATGGAAGTTTAAGTGGGGCTCCTGGAGGTCCTGCAGATGCCCAGAGCGGAGGTCTTGAGAAGACCACACTCTTGAATGCTGAAACCAGCCAGTCTATTAAAAAGGGATATTTACTCTGAAAAAAGCAAGGCTATAGAGATAGAGAACAGATCAGTGGTTGTCATGGAGTGGGGCAGGGGGTAGGAGCTGACCACAAAGGTGAATGAGATTTCGTAGGGGGGAAGAGGGGAGAAATGAAACATTTCCATATTTTAATTGTGCTAATCACACAAGTGCATGCATTTTCAAAACTGGTAGGACTGTTCACTAAAAACTCTTAAGTTTTACTGTAACTTATACCTCAGTAGACCACCCCAAAAAGATACACTGAAAAAATTTCCTACACAGAGAGACACACATAGACCCTCCCCCTAATCAGTATGGCCCGGGAGAACAGCCCTGAGTGATTGGCCCAAGGGCCTGTGACCATTCAGGCCGGCCCAAGAGACCCCAGCTCTACTCCTCCCACAGCACCTGGCCTGGACCCTTTGCCGCTTCTAGGCCAGACTCACAGCTTGGATCTCCACCAGCCATGGCTGCCTGCCCCTGCCCCCTACCCAGCCAGCTGGCCAGAGTGGGACTGAGTTGGTGCAGAGCTGTCCCCACTGTGAGGAGGACAGCCCCGCAGCCAGCTGTCAGAAGCCGCACAGGCTGACCACTGCTGCTGTGATGGGGGCATCCAAGCAGGCCTCACCTTGTCGTTGATAAGCAGCTCAATGGGGTTGTTGCCCCACTCTATCAGCACGATCTCGTTGGCCTGCCCGGGCACTGCGTAAGAGAACGGTGTGCCGATGCCCGGCAAGGCGCTGGATCGCAGCCACAGGCAGATGGTGAAGGCGTACAGTTCAGGCAGTGTTTTCTTGATCTTGCCATACAGGTAGTTTGTGCGCAGGGGGAGGGACACTTTGAACGCGTCGGGAGACTTGAACGCACTGTTGCCTGGGGGGTGGAGAAGAGAGGCCATGGTGTGTTAGCCTACTCCCCGCCAGCGCAGCCCAGAGCCACAGCTCACCTGGACCCCAAATTCCCCCAGGTCAGCCCCTCAAGCAACAGAGCACCCGCTACTGGGGAGCCACGGTGCAAAGTGCTACCAGCCCAGAAGTAAACAAGACTGGCCTTGGTCCTGAAAGCTTGAAGAAGCGGGTAAGGACAAGTTGAATTTAATTTTCTAGTTAAGCCAGAAAACCCTTCTTCAGCTCTTTCCTTAAAATCCTAGCCCCTTTAGCTCCTTCAGCAAGGGCAGGGTTGGGGCCCTGCTGGACTTGGGCTTAGAGGCAAAAAGTCCTTAACAGGGACCTGGACACCTGATTGATAGATACTCGTCAAGCCAATAAGTCCCTGTCACTTCTCACCCTGAAGAATCACTGCCCCCCAAGCAAAGGAGTGCACATGGGTGCCTGGACACTATAGCTTAACTCAGAAGTGGCTTTTTGGACTAAATACCTCACATGAACCACTTTGCTCATGATTTGCCTTTTTTCCTCAAGAGAAGATTGTGTCTGTTGATGATTTCCTGCGGTTTGGAGCCAGTCAGAGACAGAGAAGTACAGAGGTGCCCCTCCCCGCTGAGGTGAGCACCCACAGCCAGAGCCTTGAGCCCTTGGGGCCTGCCAGGGACTGAAGAGAAGCCCCCGACTGTCCTCATGTAAATGGTGCTTCCAAAATCTTTGAAAGCCACTAGTACGCTTAACTGGGTCAGAGTAATTTCTAATAGTTCTGACTTAAGCTCCAAATTAACAATAAAAATAAACACACAGAAGGCAAGTCCCCGTCTCGAGTTATCACAGATTCCGAAGTTTGCCGGGTACCACCCAGTTCTGTGAGGGGTCACGGCAGCAGCTTCCCTCTCAGCTGCGGACCGGATGCTTCTGGTGAAGGAACCTAAACACCCTTCGCTCATTCAACAAGTATTTATTAGGCATCCACAAGGGGCGGGAGGGATACCATCACCATGAGAAACATGCAGGCTCTATGGACCCAGAACCAATGGAACCAGACAGGCCTGTGTCTCATGTGAGTGCATGAATCAGTCCCTTCTATGGAACAGAGGCCACAATGGATGAACCTTTCTCGACTGCGATCCCCCAGACTCATTTGCTTTCGTAGTCAGGAACATGTGAGAGAAGCTCTCTGGTGCCATGGTTCACCCCCACCCAAGGAAGACCTGCAAAGAAAAGCAACATGGCCCAGCATCACCCTTTCAACCTCTGGAACAGGCAGCAGAGAAAGACTAGCCTGTGGGCCTTATGGGTACTATTTACTTGAATCTGCTGCTTGTGGATTCTTGTCCGGTCCATCCTGAGCTCCCCATCTGCAGAGTCACTGAATACCTAGCGAGGGCTGGGAAGGCTTGGTCACCTGGGGAAGACGAGGGGGGCCACGCCGGGTACAGGCAGAAGCAAAACTGAGAACAGAAAGCCCCATCCCCAATTCTGTGGATTGTGCAGTTGAGGCACCGAGGTTTGGAGAAGCGAGGGGACTCAACCACTGGTCACACAGCTAATGAAGGACAGAGTAGGGAGCAGAAGTCCCTCTCTCAACTACGTGCAGCCACTAGTTCTTAATCTGCAAATGGCCATGTTCTTCACGAAGGCATGATTAGCTAATAAAGAGAAATGGCTTCTATCCTTGCAGGTGGGCAGGCCTGCTGATTTAATAAGGCTCAGTGTCGGTAATATCGTTAGCTAGGTGACAACAGATAGGTTTAATTAGACCTGGGAGAGCCAAGGGGCAGAGGAGGGGCCCACACCCGGAAAGCTGGTGCCCTCTATTTATATCAAACAGCTTGGAGGTTTAGAGGAAACTTCGTTAAAACCAATTAAGGCATAAAAAGGCCTGACCAATAAATCAGAGGCTGCAGGTGGCAGACAAGTGAAAATGGGGGGCAGCTGGGGCCAAAGAGAGACAGGTTCTGTCTTCTCAGTGGCAACGTTTACTTCAGCTCCAAGGTGGGCTGTCCCTGGCTGGCTGGCCCGGAACTTGGAGGCTCCTGCAGACGAGCAGATCCCACAACAGAGGAAACGAGTATCCGTGGGCTCAGGCAGCGCAAGCCTCTGCATGGAGCATCGGATGCTCACCCCTGGGCTCTCAGGAGCCTCCAGCCCAGTGGGGCTGGAGCCCACACACCACTCCAGGCTGCAGCCTCTGGGCACCTTGTCTTCTGGGGTCACCACCAAGTTCAACCCCAGCTCTGCAACCTGCTGGACCCGTGAATGCACGAATCACTTGGCTCTCTGACTCAGTCCCTCATCTATAACTAATACCTACCTCACACAGTGGTTGCAAGGGTTACGGAAGACACGGAATGTGGAAGTCGCAGCCTGGTGTCTGGCTCTGAACAGGCCCATAATGGGCAGGAGATGATGGACTGAGGGCCAGAGTCCCCAAAGCCCCCACTTTGCATATGCTTGACGTCCATCTCCTCTGAGCTCAGCAGGATGCTTTGAGGCACAGAATGTATTTTCCACTCTTGGTTTATTTGGGGGCTGGGAGTTTATATATTCCTTTATTCTCATCACAAATAGGACAGATAGAAACTCAGAAGACAAATTTGTCGGCAGATGATCACTTTCCTCAAAGATTCATTCCAGAGCTGGGTGGCGCACACAGAGGGATTCTAGAGTTCTCGTGGTAGGTCAGTACCAGGTCCTGGGGGCTCTACAAGAAGGCCAATCAGGGGCCCTGCCCTGTAGAGCTCAGTGCTAGCTAGAACATGAGCCTCCTTTCTGTGCCAGATGAGCTCTGAGGGCTTCCCATAAAACCTAGGCATCAAGAGCGTGGATGCTGGAATCTGGCTGGGGATGGGAGGGATAGTCATCCAGAGCCAGCTGCCGGGTGGTCAAAGCCATGTTGCCGCTGCTGCTCACCAGCCGGTGGCCCAGGCCCCACTCAGTCCCCTCTCCCCAAATGATACACCTCTGGCCGAAAGTTCAGGGCATTCTTCTCATCTGTGGAATGGGTATAAGTCAGGTCCTCTCTCACAGGGGTGATGTGTTCAGCACACGCTAACGCGGCAGGCTTCTATTCACCGACGTCCTTGTAGCAATTCAGCCACTGAGCCAGGCAAGGGATACAGCCAGCACGGTCCCTGGCGGAGCTCTCTTTGTTCTACAGCTCCCCCCTTCAAGACACTAAGTGACTGTGGTGTGCCTGCATGTTGCCAGGTTCCGCTGTGGGCGAGACTGGGGAAAGGGAAGGCAAGCCACCCTCACCTTGGACCCGATGCTGCCTTTCTGTCCTCCTGTCGGCAAGAAAGGCTCCAGCCGCAGCTGCTCTGCCTTCAGGGAAGGCTCTTGAGACCTAAGGAATTTTCTGAGGTCACCCGGCAGAGGTGAGGCAGAGAGGAAATTCCTTCAGAAACTCAAGAATCCAAGTCTAACAGGCAAGTCACCCATCCCTTTCTGAGAAGGATAAGGAAGGAAGAAAGCAGGAAAGTGTTGAAGGAGACCTGCGACTTCTGGGGAGCTGCTGTAATAAAATGGAACAGACACACCATCCCCTTGATCATCTGGCCCTCCCTTGCCAGAGTCACTAAAGGCACAGCTGGACCTTCTCCTGTCAGTTCATGAAATCGAGTAATGAGAAACTGTCTTTGTCAGGCTGGTGCATCTGAGAAGATTACAATTTCATATCCACTATCAGCAAACTTACACTTCACTCCCAGGCCACTAGGCAGTTTGGGGGTTGATAATGCAGTCTGAATTATGTAGGGCCCTCGATCCCTTCCCTTCCTGTGCCCCATGGGAGAAACTCATGCACCCCAGTGTGAGCAGAGGAGAGAAAGAGACTCAGAATCCACTGAAGGTCTGGTTAGGAAGTGACTGAAATGTCCACATGGCAGGAGGACGGGGTTGGGTTGTTTGTCCACGCTGGTCCTGAGGGCACTGGCTTTCCCACGGATAACAGGGGGCGGGGAAGGGGCGGCTAATTCCTGAGAGGACCATCCTCAATCATGCTACTGTTTCCTCCAACAGCTGCGAGCTATCTCCATGCAGGGTCAGTCACTGCAGACACCCCGGGGGTCACTGTCTGGGATGGAAAGCAGGCCGCTCCCAGCAGCAATAGGCCCCTTCAGTCTCCACCAGGTCAGAAGATGTATCAACAAGGCTGTCAAGCTGGGCAACTGTCAGGCAGAAACCCTACACCCCTGCACACCACGGGAGATGCCTCAAGTTGAAAAAGCAACACTTCATTTGCGAAACAGAGAAGGGAAAGCGGAGACCTGCTGGGATGGTAGAGAATGCTGTGGCTTTTTGCGCATAGGACAGGTAGGTTCAGAGATGACCCAAGAGCAGCCTCAGAGCCAACCCCAGCAAACAGGAGCAGAGCCTGGCGCTAACAGCAAGCAGGGGTCACGACTCTCTCAAGGGCCCTAGTGGCCTGTCTGTAAATGGGTGGCTATGGGGCCAGCCACCCTCTGCCGGCTCTGCCTTACTAAGCCCGGCCTCCCTTACACTGCAGCCAAACACCAAGACAATGGGGTGGGGGTGGGGGGCTGAGAGGGATGTCAGCCAGAGGGCGACAGAGAAGCTCGTCAAGAACTCACCTCGCTCCAGCTCAGCCACCCTCTGCAGCAGAGCATTCAGGGCATTTTCTGTCTTCTGCCTGTGAGCAGAGGTCTCATTGTGGAGCAGGGACTTCTCGTCCTCCAGCTCTGCCACCTTGCGCAGCAGCTGCCTCTCCAGCTCCCCCAGTCGCCGCTGGAGCACCTCTCGAAAGTCGCTGGGCAGCACTGCATTGGACACATTCACTCGGAGCTGGTGCTTTTAGATGGGGAGAGGGACATATGAGGGAGAAGTATTAAGGCCATTTAAAAAGAAATTGGGAAATGTAGCTCTAAAAGCCCAACCGCACAGGGAGAAGCTTCCGAAACAGGAGTATTAAATCGTGCCAATGGCACGAAGGGGAGCACTTCACGGATGCTTTTTGCTTTTTTGTATGGAAAGGATTTCAAAGTCAAACAAGAATTACCTTGCTGCAATCTTTGAAACTTACGAATTCCATTTTCCTCTCTCAGAAAGCTATTTTCCTTCTCTTGCTAAAAACTCAAAATTTTAATCACTATCTACCATCCTTGGGTAAAGACCACAACACAGTGAAGATTAAAAAAAAAAGTTAACCAAATGGTACTAAAGCAGATGAGCTTTCATCTAGAAGTGGAAACAGCCCCCAAGTCCCAATATGGCACAAAGGTGAATAATTATGCTTGCAGAGATGTTACTGGAAAATGAGAGACCTAAAATGTGACAGTTTTGAATTCCAGGAATTTTTGCTTTGAATGCTGTTGCTAAATCCTCATTTCCTATGCCTTCTCCTCCTCTACCATCATGCTGGCTCTGGAGGCAGTCTGCCACTGGCTAGCCATGAATCCTTGGCAAGCTATGTACCCCCTTTCTAAGCATTCCAAATTGTAAAATGCAGCTAAGAGGATCTGCCTCAAAGGACTGTTGGAAGGGTTAAAATTAGATAATACGCCTGGAATATATTTAGTAAACTAGAAATGTTAGCTGCTATTAATCATACCGAATCAAGGGATATACAGATGCTGGAAATACTGTATTTAGCCATCATGCCACAGGAAATCCTCAAATAATTTTGCAATAATTACCACCTGTAATTGAAACCTAGTTCTGCTAATGAGCATTCTGGTAAACGTTTTCAACAGAAACGTTCCACACTTCTTAAATAGGGTTCAAAAGGAAAGATGGAAGTTAAATGAGGATTTCTCTCACAAAGTTCCAAACTGCATACACCTTCCAAGAGAGAAACGTAAGAAGGTCCCTTCCCCCAAAACAGCCTGAAAGGGCACCTTAGAACGGGCGCAGTTCGCGGGCAGAGCATCTTTGAAGTTAAAACCAGGTTTCCTCCGAGGCGCCAAGCGGCGTGTGGCCCGGGACCCGCCCGCGCTCGCCTCCCCGCCGCGACCCTGGGGTCTCCGCCCGCTCCGGCCCAGCCCGGCCTGATTTATAAAAGGAAACACGGGACGCCCGGGACAGCTGACCGCACTCGGCAGCCGCAAGTCACCCGGCACAGCCTCTGCGAGCGCGTGCGGCCCCGGGGGTCTCGGACATTTAGAGAGAAGAGGCCGTCCCGGTCCGCTCAACCGGATCCCGGGAAGTGACTGGCCACAAGGCGGACAGTCCCGGTGCGGGGCGGGGGAAGAGGCGGGTGTTAACCCTTTCCTTTCAGCAAGAAGCGGGGGGTGGGGGGTGGGGGTGGGATGCGAGCCCCGCTGGTAAGTTCGCGAACCCGACAGAGAACCAACCCCTACCCCCGACCCCAAGCCCAGCTTGCTGTGTCCCGCACTGTCTGGCTGGCAGAACCACGCGCCCCACCACTGCCCCGCGCCTTGGATCTTTCCCACCCTTCAGGATCACCCCCCACCCAGCCCCGCGCTCACGCTACCTCGAGGCTCTCCAGGCGGTCCTTGAGGGTCTGCAGCGAGCGGCTGAGCTGCTCCACGACGTGGCCCGGGTCCCGCGGCAGATCGCCCATAGTGTCCTTGCCTGTGGCTGCCGGGCCCTGCGCCTTGCCGCCCGCCAGCCCCTCGCAGCGCGCCAGCTTGCCCGTGAGCTCGCGGATGGCCTCGCGCTGCGCGCCCAGCGTCTCCTTCTGCTGCACGACGGTCTCGCGCAGCTGCAGCACCGCGGCCCGCAGCTCCTCCTCGGGGCTCAGCGCGCCGCCCTGCATGGGCATCGCGGGCAACGGGCAGCCGGCGCGCGCAGCCTCCGGGGGCAGCGCCGTGCACACGAAGCGGCTGCCGGGCGCCGGGCCGTCTTGGGCGCCGGCGGCCACGACGATCGCCAAGCCGGCGGCCAGCAGCGCTAACATCCCGTCGCCGCAGCGCTCACTCCAGCATCAGCGGGAGGGCGGGCGCCGTCGGGGCGCGCGGCGGAGGCGCCTCCGCTGCGGGCTGAGGCCCGGCGCGCCGCTCAAGGGCAGCTTGAGCGCGGGAGCAAAGGGAACCGCCTGCCTCCCGAAGCCCGCTGTCTCCGCTCCGCGTACCGCTCTGATCGCACCCGGTCCGCGCGCCCTTTCTTAAGCTGGGGGTGGGGGGGGCCGGCGCGTGGGGCGCAGCGCCGCGAGCTCTGATTGGCCCGGCTGGGCGCGCGTCAGCGAGGGGGCGGGGCGGGGGCGCCTTCTCTAGGCGGGCGGGCGCGTGTGTGGGCCCGAGGCGGGGGCGCTAGCGTGGGGTCCCGGGGCTCTCAAAAAGGGAGGACTGAGGTAAAAAAAAAAAAAAAAAGAAAAGCAAAAAAAGAAAGAAAAGGAAAAGGGAAAAAAAAAAAAGCCGCCCCGGGTGCCTTCGAGAGCCTTGGCCCCGTGTCCAGGAGCCCCTCAGACCCACCCGAGAACGTGGGCGTCGGGGGCTGAAGAGAAGCCGGCAACTTCCCCGGGGCGGCTTCGGAGCTTCCGGCTCGGCGCGACGCCTCGCTCTGCGGCCACCGCCGCCCGGGTGGGGAGGGACCCCCCACTTCCCAAGCGAGGAAAGTGAGGAGGAGCCCTGGGAGAAGGAACTCAACCCAGGGCTGCCGTCGAGAGACCCCCGCGGGCCGCGAGGGCCTCCTCGTCAAGCCGCGGTCGCCTCGCCCTGAAGACGGAAAGGAGATGCACGACGACCGCCCCCCCGGGCCGCCAGCCGCGTGCACGTCCACCTCCCCGGCCCCCACCGCCGCCAGTCGCGGTGGGCAAGACTTCTTAGGTCCGCGGGGACCGGAAACGCGCGCCAGACTCCGACTGCGCGGAGGGGGCGCGCGCACACCGCCTCCGCCGAGGGCATGGCGCGGGGGCCGGCGTCACGAGGCCACCGGCGGAGCTCTCCGTGCTGGTCGGGCGACAGCCCAGCAGGTGGTGAACTTACTCAGCCAGCCCTGGGCTCCGCAGGTCCATCGGAGCGCAGCCATCCCGGAGATACCACGTAGGAAAGCCGGACCCCACCCTCGTAAGCCGGCTGCCCGCAGTTTCAGTTTCCCAGTGTGAGGCCGCTGCCCTCACATTCTTGGGAGATCCCGGATTTGGACAGAAACCCCAAAAGGCAGGAGGAGCCAATTTGTTTCAAAATCTTGGCTGTGGCTTGCCAACAAGTTCAGAGGGATTTTGATGCACAGCTACAGATCGAGCGGGTTTACTGCACATTATAAATGGAAACTTTATTTTTTCTCGGTGTTTTTAAGAAATCCGGTGGCAAGGTCATTAATCACATTATCCATTATACCAGAAACGAAATGGATTTGTCGCTTGTGCACAGAAGCTGAGGTTGATTCTGAAAACAAATTGTATCAAACTAAATGAAATTATTATGATAATATAAAATAGACTGCAGTGATTAATCTCCAGAAACCAAATTTTGACCTGCTTTGCACTTCAAACAATAGTTTTCTGTTATGTAAATACTTGTGGGGTTTTCAAGGACTATGTAAATTACAAGAAAAGTTCTATTCATGAAAATCTTTTTATGGATAAACATCAGAGACCGGAAAACCTGGTCTATACAACACCTAAAGCAGAGGACAGTGGAAGTGATGGTGGTTCAGGTAAGAATATTCGTTGATAGGAAAGATATGAGGTGGGGGTGGAGGGAAGCGGGTAATGGGCTAATGCCACTGTTGGTCCCCAATACCAGGAGGTGTCAGCTTCACGTAGTAAATATGACCTTGAACAGGCTCATTCCTCCTGCATCCTTAGGTCAGTTCTTTGAAAAACCCCAGAAGTTCCAGTGAGCCCAAATACACACAAACTGCTGTAATGAAAGCAGTAAGGTTGCAAAGCATTTTATAAAATATTACATTTTAGGTGATTCCATCAGGCGCCATATCAGACATGTTCAGAATTACCCAGATAAGGATTTCACTTTCCAGTTTTCACTCATAGGTCTCCTATGAGTTTTGTTTTTGTTTTTGTTTTTGTTTTTTCCTGATCTAGGTGGATCGTAATTGGATGTGCAAGTAGAGTAACATAGCCTATAGTGTTCTATATATCCATTCTTGACACAGGTTGATACATTTATATTTGCAACTACTTGAAAGAGATACTTGTTCCTTTAATAATTAAATAAAGCCAAGTGTATTTCCAGAATTCTAATTTTCTCCTGAACAAAGAAAGCAGTGTATAAGAAGCCATAAAAATAACAAAGCGTATATCCCAAAATAATTACTCTTAAATTTCTCAAAAGGGATTCTAATATGAGAAATGATCAGTGAAATCGCCGAAGATGGAGAGACTGAGGCATTTAAGATGTTATTTCCTTTGGAGGCAGTATAATTAGAGGGCTCAGTTCACAAGGGTATTATGTGCTATTTAGGGTTTGATTTTGTTTTCCTGGTGCAGTGGGAAAGTCTGCTGGCTGAGAAACAGGGACCAAGTCCTAATGCCAACTCTGTCACCAGCTAAGTGTTTTGGGGCAAGTCATTTCTTTTCCCTGGACCTCTGTTTCCAGTGTATAACCTAAGGGAGTAAGACTAGATTCTCCAAAGACCCCCTGGCTATGCTCGAGAGCTGATAGTTAGAATCACTGTTCAGTGTGATGAACGTTCCAGAGCCTTGTCCTTTCTGCTTCTGTCATGTAAGCAAGGAGGAGTCTGGGAAGGTGGGGTGTTTGTGTATACAGCAGGTTACTTCACACAAAGATATGCTGTAGCCGTGGTTAAAATCTGCTGTCGATGACACGAAAGCTTGTCCTTGGTTTACTCACAGCGCAACAACCTTGTCTACCTGAAGGATCCTACATATCTGACTCATGCTATCCTTAAGGATGGTTATGCGAGTGGCAGAGACCAGGGCCCACAGATTTTCCTCCACAAAAGTCGTGCAGATTTGCAGCAGTGAATCAGCTCCACCTAATCTCTTAGTGTAACTGATGCTGCAGCATAGTAACCACCCACTCATTCACTATGTCTCCTGGCTCCCAGGTCAGCTGAGAGCCCAGTATGGACTTCAGCCGTGTGCTGGAAATCCTGATGAGCTCATTCCGCCTCCATTTTATTGCCCCATCTGTTTGGTTCCCTTGTTCTTCTCACATGCATTTTTATCTCGGTCTTCTGGGAAATGTGCTAATTTCCACCATGGTGTCAGAGGATCCCATCTTATACTTTCTTACATTTCCTCTTCTCTTTCTCAGTGCCACTTGGAAAGTCAAGAATGGGGGTGTGAGCTCAATAACAGAATCCAAGGACAGCTTTCTGTGAACATGACTCAGGAACTGTCCTCACTGCTGAATTTCAGTTGGAAAAGGAACTAAGAGTGTGTGATGTTTTTGGGGTGTTTTGTTGGTTTGTTTTTCTTTTTTCCTCTTTTTTGTAGGATTCAGTGCAGGTACAACAGAATCTGGAGGCTCTAGTGAATTATAACAAATACTCTTTTATGCCCAAAATGCTAAGACCTTTTCGAGTGTGAATTTTTCACTAGACTGAACTAACGGCATGGTAGAGTAGAAAATGCTCGAGCTTTGGCATCTTGTTTCTGCTCTTGTTTCAATCCTAGTTTTATAACTGGCCATTTGACCTTGAGAGGATACCTTAACCTCTCTGAGTCTCATTTTTCCTATCTCTAACACCAAAGCTAGATTTACTACAAAATGTTATTGTCAGGCCTAGTGAGATAATGTATGTGAACGTGTTCGGCATATCGCAGGTGCACAATAGATGCTAATTGTCCTTTTTTTTCTCCTTTTCTCCACTGAATTTAGAGCTGCATTATATAAGTTCTTTCAGGAACAAAGTTTAAATTTTTTCTTTATTTTCCACAATATCCATTTGTAATTAAATGAAAGCAAGAATTTTTGAGAAAGGGCAGGCCAGCCTCTTTGGAGGAAAGGCAAGGGATGAGAACTCTGGAAAAATTTACTGGCATCTCAGAGAAAGTTATCCTGTCCTAGTGTGTGTGTGTGTGTGTGTGTATGTGTGTGTGAGAAAATAAAGCATTGTGTTTAATCATAGGATTCCCAAACTATTTCACACCTCCACTAGCTTATATCACTAGGCCATGTACCTGAACCCAACTAAAAGATTTATAGTCCTTAACATTTCAGTGACTCTGAGTTTGTATTGCTATGGGATCCCAATAGATTTAAGGCCCCCAAATAAAGCAGATTTTTTTTTCTTCAGTGCCTCTGGGTTCTTCTTGAATAACGTGTTTCTGGTTTAATCTGGAGAATATGTGATAGGAGACACTGAGTTTCAGACAGTATTCCTTACGAGTATACGATCACATGTAGCAGGAAAGCCATGATTTGGGGACTGATTGATAAAGCTCTTCAATAGATTTCAATAAACAAAAAGGGTTTTGGTGGCACTCTCTAATTTCAAGCAATAGAACAAGTTGCTGGATAAACTAGAAATATTAGCTTAGTTTTTTAAAAGTAAAGACTAATAGACTGGGGATGGCAGGGAGGAAGGGTGGAGATGGGGTGGAGGAAGTTTGCGTGAAGAAAATAATTGAAGAACATAGTCTGAATTATTCTATATTAGGAAACACTTGGAAAGTGCCTTGCTTTTACACAAGTTTCACAAGTAATGAACTTTACCTTTATCCAATAAGGATTTGTATGTAGCCCCCTATCTCCGTTTGGTTTAAGCACACATTTAGCTTGTTTGAAACTTTGAAAATGAGAGTCAGAAGATATATATAGAATATAGAATTTAAAATATAGAATTTTGAATTCTAGGAAACAGCTTAAAAGATGTTAATAGGTCACATGACTAACTAACAGCAGGACCAAGCTGGAACTCATGTTCTCTGGTTCCCAATTAAGGACTCTTTCCTCTGTACCACTCCCTAATTTACTCATTAATAACCCTTTAAAATGCTTTATCTCTTCAAAAACAACTTTCTTAAAAATCTACAATTTGCCACACTGGATCCAATGACCATTTTTCTGTGATTCTCTTGGAACTCATTACAACATGCAACATTGTTGGGTATGGCTTTTTTTTTTTTTTTTAATTAAAACTTTCCATTGTTGGTTTCTATGATATTGTATTCTT